TTCCAGTCTCAAAATGACACCTTTTGAAGCACTATTTGGATATAAGCCAGTGCCTCTGCCCCTGGGGCCTTACTTAGACTCTGTGGTACCTGCAGCTACTAACATGCTCCAGGAAAGAAATAGGATCTCAAATTGCATTAAGGACAACTTAGTTAAAGCTCAGCAAAGGATGAAGTATTTTGCTGATCAACACAGGACGGAGAGGGAATTTGCTGTTGGAGATTGGGTGTTCCTGAAACTCCAACCATACAGACAACAAACAGTGGCAGTACGGAAGTGTCTGAAGCTGTCTGCCAAATACTATGGACCATTCGAAGTGGAGGAGAAAGTTGGCCCAGTGGCTTACAAATTGAAGTTGCCAGCAGGCACTAGATTACACCCTGTGTTCCATGTCTCACTACTCAAGAAGAAGCTGGGTACATTGCAAGGAAGTTCTACTAATCTGCCAGAATTAGATATATAAGATCAATGTCCATTGCAGCCAGAGGCAATCTTGAGCAGAAGGGTCATTTTGCGCAATGGGCAACCTGTCATCCAATTCCTGATCAAATGGAGTCAATTGGAGGCCGAGGAAGCTTCTTGGGAGGATAGGTCTTTCATTGAGTGACAGTTTCCTGCATTCCAGACTTGAGGACAAGTCTGTTCTTAAGGGGAAGGGATTGTCAGGCTGTAAGCTAGAGGTCCTTAAACACAATAATAGCTCAATTAGAGTCAGAGTTAGTTAGCTCAGTGGTTTAGCAAAACGATGCAGTTTTGGTGTTCTTAAGTAATGGCCATACGATGTCGTTTCAATTAATAAGGTCATTAGGTAGTTAAATCCAGTTGTAGATATCTGGCAAGTCTGTTAGAGTTGGTTATAAAGAGGGGCCCACATGTACTGAAGCATTACGATCATTGTTCACATTTCTGCTATTGCCTTCTTGTTCTTGTTCTCTCTCTTCTCTCTGTTTTCCTTCCCAATTATTTTCCAATCCCCAATTTCTTCGATTCCTCTTGATCAATTCCATCTCAACTCCAACAATTCCAGAAATCAGTCTCGAGGCCGTGACATGTTACCACAATGAGGGTCGAACACGGGATATTACCACAAAGACGGACTTACCAGTTTCGGCCGAGCTACCCGTTGGGGCTAAAGAGGAGTTTATTAGATATTGCGCAACATGTCTACATCCCTTTCGCCAACCTATTTTAACAAGTGTTCTTGTTTAGTGAGTAATAAGGTGAGATTGGATTAGACACTGTTAGGACTACTCTTTCGAAAAATAGTAGTAGTAGTCTACTAATCTAGTGCTCTAAGGAATTTTTTTTTTTTTCCATTTTTGTGAGGGGTGAATTGCAAAATCTATAAAATCAAAGGGGTCAATCCGCGGTTAAAAGAAACAGAAGAAATCGATGAAAAGCAAACGAATATACCCCAAAATCTAGGGTTTCTCTAGCAACTCCCATATAAAAACGACACCACTTACCTTCGCTTTGGCCGTCTCTCTCCCGATTCCGCAGGTTTCAGTCTTCCCTTTTTCGAAACCCTTCAATTTTTCTTCATTAATTTGGGGAATCAATGGCTGTTACCTTCTCAGATCTCCACACAGAGGCTGGCCTCAAAGCCCTTGATGAATTTCTTGCTGGCAAAACTTATGTATCTGGGTCCGTATAATCTGGAATTAACTGATAATTTTACTGGGCTCTCTTGTTCTTGTGTAAAAAATGTTCTTTTTCTTGTTTTGAGCCAATTTGAATGGATTGATTTCAGGGATCATCTTACAAAGGATGATGTGAAGGTATACGCTGCCGTTTTGAAGCAGCCCAGTGCTGATTTGTATCCCAATGCTAGCCAATGGTACCAATCCGTCTCCTCAAAACTTGCCCCAAGGTATGATTTTTTGTTCTTTTTTGCAATACTTTTATGTTTTTTGACGCGGGTTTTGCTTAAATTGTGGATTTGAAGATTATTTAGTGATGATTTAATATCCTCATTTAAGGGTTTTTCGCTTTTTTTTTTATATAAAGTTCGAAATTTTATTTAATTTTAATGGATTTTAACTTGTGCATTTTGACAATTTCTGTCATATTTTTAGCTTTCCTGGAAAAGCTGTTGGAGTGAGAATTGGCCAAGGTGCTGCTGCAGAAGCTGCTCCAGCTGTGGTGGCCAAGGTAGTCTCCTCGACATCTAACTACTTAGCTAGTAAATTTATTGTTTGACTTGTTTGCTTTTCGTACTTTTTTTTAATCTCCACGTCTGTGTTTAAATTTCATATGAGAGAGAACTTTGATGGAGATGGGGTTGTGCGGATCTTAAATATGTTATGGTCGATAGTTAATAATTGCATATCAAAATAGCAAGTTTTATTATTTGGAGAAGTAGAATTAATCTTGAGGCTTCCTTTAAAGGAGTTAAATTTGAAAATTCTAGACTATATGAGTTCCAGGATGAATTTCTACTCTTGAAAGGGTCCAGATCATTGAGTTTTTTGTTGGTAGATCTTATCTTAATTTTTGAAAGCACCACTGGCAATGTGAAATAGTCTATCTTTGAGATTGCAATGCATTGTTCTGTGACTTACTAAGAACCACAAACACGCTCAAGAAGTCATGGTCAGTTTCCTTCGTAATAAATTTTACTCTAGTGTTCAACAGACAAAGATGGACTCTGAGTATATAGTCGGCTCTCTTTCTTGGCATTAAATTTTAAAATACACTAGTTCGGAGATGCTTTGAAATTTATCTAACACGTAATGGCGCCCCCATAGATGGTACCATCTTTTTGGGCAACAACTCGACAGATGTGAAATTGCATAAATGGAAAGAAATTAAAATCCTCTTAGGGTAACAAACAAAAACATGAAGCAAAATTGTTGACAGATGTCATATACAAGAACAGAAAACTTTATTTTGGATAAAGTGCTTCAGAATGGTTGCATAACTTATTTTTCTTTTTCAGTCATGTGTAAGGACTGCTTTATGCATGATGTTTGATTGTTGTTGTAGAATCTGCACTGCATGAAGTATTATATTTAAACATGAATTAATACTTCACATTTGAATGCACAACATACAACCTGGTATACTAAATATTTACGTGTTTTTTCTTATATATGATAGTTGATAATTTCATCATTGCTGAAACTATGTATATCCACTTCTGCAAGAGATGATGTCCTTGTTGATAAGTGTAGGATCAGGTCCATGTTTTGTGTCTGTATCCATGCATCTGGACAAACTTGTGTGACGTAATAATAGCCATGGACCATGAACTGCTGCTGGTTTTGGCATAGGTTTCATTATGCATTCATGAACGCAGCTTGAGGTTTATATGTGCAAATTATTCTTGACAAAATTTTGACTTTGATCTTTGGCAGGAAGCACCTGCAGCAGAAGATGATGATGACCTTGATCTCTTTGGTGATGAAACAGAGGAAGAAAAGAAGGCAGCAGAACAGAGGGAGGCTGCTAAAGCATCCACCAAGAAGAAAGAGAGTAAGCTTCTTTTCAGATGGTTTCTGGCAATGTGCTTGTGATCATTTTGTTTAAAAATAACTTATTGATGGTTTGAATATTGTCGATTGACACTAGTAAAATTGGAGATTTTGTTGGCCATAGTGGTTAACAACTAAATTATCGATCCAAAGAAAACACTTGATCTTAGGAATCTAAGGTGTGAGTTTTGCCTTGTACCTGTTGAATCAAAATTGAACTTTTCCTGATAAATTCATAATCAATTTGAATTCATAATCAATTTGAACATCTACGGTTCTATTCCCATTTGTTTGGTCATGTAATGTATTTCGTAAATCCTATCTCCAGGTGGAAAATCATCCGTTCTTATGGATATTAAACCTTGGGATGATGAGACAGACATGAAGAAGCTCGAGGAGGAAGTTCGCAAAGTCGAGAAGCCTGGGCTTTTGTGGGGAGCCTGTATGTTTTGTTTTTAACCTTTGTTGATTTCTCATTTAGTATGCCTGAATATTTCTTTAAGATACTAAAAATCCCCATTTCTTGTCTTGTGCAGCAAAACTGGTCCCTGTCGGTTACGGTATAAAGAAGTTGCAGATCATGCTTACCATAGTGGATGACCTTGTCTCAGTTGATGATCTCATTGAGGACCAGCTCACAGTTGAGCCATGCAGCGAGTATGTGCAAAGCTGTGACATTGTTGCCTTCAACAAAATCTGAGACCAGTGCCAGTGGACATACCAGCTCTAACGATTATGGGCTGTAATTTTGTTACTTTCTTTAGTTTTATATATATTTTTTTAAATCTATGTTTATGATATAACGTACTTTTCTATTAGTTGTCGGCTCTTCTGTTTGCAAGATTGAAAGATACTTGAGCTATTTAAACCATCCCAAGTTTGAGCATGATGCGTGTTGATTTACATTTGGATTAGACAAGACTAGCTCTTTTTTAATTGACCCATCCTGAATAAACCAGAAGCATGCTGGACCTGATGTTTTGACTAGCATAACAGTTCTATTTTCCTTTGAGTTTGAGCCCATCCTCATCTGCTTGGTTGGTGCTCTGAAGTGGAGGCATGGGGCAAAATAAAGATCATCAGTATGAAATGTGCAGGTATGGGGTTTGCCAACCTTCCAAAGAAGTGTACCACAAATCTCAGAAGAGTACAAATTTTCATCATCTTATCTCAGTGCATAATTTAATATGCAATGATTAATGGGAGTATTATTGAATCTAGTAGGCACCCAAAATGTCAGTAATTTTTTTGCCATGTCAAATTTAAGATCTCCAAGTTCATGTCTCAAACTCATAAAGCTACATTTCACTTCATTTACATTCTGCGTTAAACTACGCCTCAGATCCAATGCTCATTCCACACTCAAATTCCAGATGCACAAACTGAAAGCTGTTTTGTTCACTTCACCCATTAAGTTGTATAGATCTTGTCAAGTTGAGGAACATATATAATCTTAAAAAGCTAAGATTGAATAATAGAAAAGGGAAAGCGTGCAATAATATAATTTTCATGCAAAAGGAAAAGAAGTGTTCAAGAAATGATCTTGCAACTATATGATAACATGTGGTCAGAATTGCCAAACTCACATTCAAAGCAACAAAACCAGAATGGAGCAATGAAACAGAAGAGCAGATTGCTCCATCTTCTATTCCACAGTTCAGATATAATGGACATAACTAAACAATTTAATGATCGACTTCTAAGGCATAATTACATCAATAATGAAATGATCATCTTGACTCAACCACAACAAATTAAAGACTATCGGCTCCTGCAGATAGGGAAAGTGGAATGCGAACTGGCCAAATTGGAAGCACAAACAAGAAGCAGGACCAGCAAGCCTCACCAGAGATCTGATATATTTCTTTGGGGTTGTTTGGAAATCCAAGCGATTTTAATCTCCTGGTTTGGATGTTGAATGTGACCAAATTGTTATTCCACCCCAGATAAACTATATCTGCATCATATGGATGGAAGGCTACCGGTATGGCAGTTAACATGCGAAGATGCAGACTATCATCAACTATAATTTCTTCATTCCTTACAGTGTGTTGTAGGAACCACTTGTTAGAGTTGTAGTCCTCAAGAACCCATATTTTGAAGTCTGAAAATCCCTGTTGCAGTGGACGAGAAACTTCAAAATACTTCAGATATCCTTGATGAACACCATACATACTAGAATTGAAACCATATCTTGACATGCTATATTCCCCGTCTGCATCAGTTGGAAACTCAATGATGCGAAACTCATTAGGATTATTGTAAGGATCATAGGCTATAATTCCAAGTTCACTATCACTCCAGTGCAGATTCTCCTCGAAAAAGATAGGCTTGTGGTGACAGGAAATTCTTATTGCACATCCGGAATTTACAACAAAGTCCTCCCATATTCCAGATTCAGAAGAAAATATCTCAAACTCGAGGAATCCTCGTTTCTGAGGACAACAATGAACTAAAACAACTTTATAACTTCTTAATATTCCTGCCTCAACTTGTGTAACAAACCCCACATTGACCTGTTTGAAGAGATGTTTCGGTGCAGGAAGAGCAAACCACTGCTTGGTAACAGGATTACAAATGTAATATTCCACAATGTGGTTGTATAAATATGGCTTATATTGAAACCAACCATACAACAAAAATCCATTGTGAATTGCTCTGATAAAACAGGTTTGCCCCTTCGCTTCCTGAGAATCTGGTAAAGGGAGTATGTGAAAATCTGGTGAAGTAGGATTGCAAGAATACATATTCGCTAGTGGCTTATTATGCTGATCAGCAAAGTGGGATATTGTAGAACCCTCCACATGCATTCTCTTGAAGAGAAATACCCATTGCTGGCACTGCCCTGGCAAAGCTGAGGCTTGAGAAATGTAGAAACGAGCAAAAGATGGATGAGAGATCAGAGAAAGCCATTGTTTTGAGACGCTTTTGAACCTAAAGACAGACTTGATAGGAACCCTGCAGAGGACCTCAATCAAGAACCAGTCAGGCATACAACCATCTTTGAACCACATATTATGTGTCATTTTCTTGAGCATCCTTGAACAACATTCCCGTTGTAACAACAATTAGATGCAACATATGCTGTAGTACTAATGTAGAAACAACATATGAGCATCTAATTCAGGTTCAATGAAATCTGGATGCTTTGATCAGAATATTGGTCAAGAGAAAATGTTAAACGTATAGGCTTAATGTAGATTCTACCAAGAAAGGTGAGAAAGAAAAAAGGCAGCCAAGAATCGCAATCTTGAAGAATAATAGAACAAGAGAACAGAATTACAAGTCAACAAAATGCTAGGGGCAAAAGGAGAAAGGAGGTTGACTTGCGAATTTGGCGGGGTGTCTGAGAGATAAGATAAGATTGGATACTTTATTTGATTGTTTTGTGGACGCCAGTTCACTTGCTTTCTAAATAAAGAAACTGCATTGGTGTGGATGGGGGCATTTGATATTTTATTAAATATTATGGATTGACCTTTTATTGAGTATTTTATTATGGAGATCCAATGCCTTTATTAATTTCTATTTTTTTTTACTTGAATACTTTATTGATATTTGGTTATGGTTTATTTGTACAAATCAAGAAAGGGGTTCAGTGCAATGTACAGTCACCCTGTTTATAGCACAAGTTTTTTTTTTCCTTTTTCGGTTGAAACAAAAATTAACTTCTTCTAAAATAACATAATAAGGAATCTGCTTTATTCATGTTGGCTTCAATAGATTAAGAAAATTTCCCATCCATAAATTAGAGGGAAAATGGCCAATTTAGTCCCTATACTTTTATACTTGTGTCGATCTAGTCCCTTTATTTTATTCTTGGCCAATTGGATACCTTAACTTAAAATGCAAATCCAATTGAGACCCTTTGCGGCGGCGCCACCACAAAATATCAAATGGGCGGGAAATTGACCACATAATGAGGGCTACTTTTGGAACTTCACTTATGGGCTCTAAAACGGTAACAAAATGAGGAGCTTAAGTGCGGAGCTTTAGACTCTGAAATCAAAGTGAGGAGCTTAAGTTGAATTGGAGAGCTAGGGTTCATCCAAGAAATGGGTAGTCTGTGTAAATTCTCAGATTGTGTACAGAATCATTGCAAATGCAGGTAAGGAGAAATTGGGCCAAAGCAGCATCAAGTTCAGGTAGCGTTTCAAGTAATAATGGCGCAAATCGATTTGAAACAGCAACGGAGATTTATCGAGGAAAGGATGAATACTACAATGGAGACCTAGTTGTGCGCTGCCGCTGCCTTGAAGAGTGTCGAGTAGTTACTTCATGGACAGAAGCAAATCCTTCAAGAAGATTTCACGGCTGCAAAAACTATGGGGTACTATTTCTTGGTTCTTGGTAAACATATTTCAAATCTGAAAATTTAATGAATTTTGGTGAAGTAAACTATGAATTAATTGTGAATGCAGAAATCTGGAGCTTGTAATTTCTTTCTATGGTACGATCCACCCATACCTCAGAAGATGAAGAATGTAATTGCTTCATCATTGAGGGACCTCAGACGTGTGGAAGCAGAAAATGTAACATTGAAACTTGATATCCGAAAATTGAGAACAAAAGTGAAACTAATGATATTGGCATGTGTTTGTTTATGTTGCTACGTTTTAATTACTACTGTGCTTGCTGGCAATGGAAGACAAAAGCAAGGTGTGTTGGAGTTGAAAATGTTGAACTAGTTTTGGAAATGTTGTAGATCCTTCAAATACATGGCTGCTAATTTCTCCTGATAATTTCTCCTAAATTTGTATATGTTGTCAAGAGAAATATGGTAGTATGTTATGAACTTTTGAGGAGAAATGTGATTCATTGTAAACTTGAATCTGAATGATAGATCCTTCAAGTGCACTAGTTTTTTGATTTTGAATTGTTTGGGAATTGGTTTGGTCACTGGAAACTTGTGGAAGCAAAAAAGAAAATGGACAAAATTGAAGCCTGTTTATGGACATTTCCACCTGGAACCAATTCAACGAAATATCTAACAATTCAGCCAATAAAGTTGTTATAGTAAAGGACAGAATTTTGCATGTCATTTGACCCTTCCATTGGGCACTAATTCAACAAAATAGCTTACAGTTAAATAAAGGTTATGCAGTCAGAATTACACAATCAAGCTGTCTTCTAATGCCAAAAGTGCCTCTAAAAATAACTACAACAGCCAACGTTTATAGAAACAAGCTGTCTGCTAATACCATAAAATCCAATGTTTGAGCAACTTGGTTCAATGAAGCCAACATATTTTAACCCTTCCACTACAAGAAGTCTCAAAAGTAGTCAAAACTAACTAAATGAACAAAAATTAACTGCCATCAACATGTTTCAGCAACATATGACTATCTTCAACTGTCTTCATTATTGTCCATGAAGTTATCCAATTCATCCAACAGCCTATGCGCCTGCAAAATACATTTGAAATGAGAACCAGCAAAAGAGTAATGGCTAATAGTTCGAAATTAGACCGAGTTTTTAATGCCAAAAAACATACAGTTTGTTTTCTTCTTTTGCCTTTTCCTGGAGATACAACACCAGCTATCATGGATCTCCAAGGTTGGGCTCGCGCGCAGGTGCAAGTTTTTTTGGTTTGGCCTGGAGCATGACAGAAAAGACAGCAGGCAGTACGACGAACTCTTTTTGAACTTAACTCTGGAGCTGAGGACTGCACATGAATTGTTTCAGCCACCTCACCAGCTTGGATATTGACTATTGAGCAATGAAACATACATGTAGTAAGCATGCCATTTAAACACAGGAAGTTTAAAGAAATATGCAAGATTCAATAATTAAAAAATATACCTGAATTGGACTCTGTGGCTGCCATATTTTTGGAAGGTTCACTGTCAACTTCAGTGATTGTTGTAGACGCAGACACGTGTGTTTCTTGTGTTGCATGGGTATTAGATGTCCCTGAGACAATCAATGGACAAGTCCTGACATTGTGCCCAAGTCCTTTGCATTTTCTGCACTTGTTGGAGTTCAAAGGAGGTTGCGTTCCACTACCTTCAAGAGGAACCGCATCAGCTGCATGGTTCAATGGACATCTTCTTATATTATGCCCCTTTTTTTGACATTTGGTACAAGTAATCTGTGTAACACCTTTTCTAGAAAGTCTTGTACAGCCTTTGGAATCAGACCGTTGCTCATTTGGTTCCCGTCTCCTTGTCTTTTTGGGCCTCCCAGGAAGTTTCAACTTTTTTGGTGCATTAATAGGGTCCTTCTTTGATTTGTTCCAGTTGTTGGGTCCATTAATCGGTCCAATAGCTGGCTCATAGGCTTTCAAATAGGCATCTCTTGAATAACAAGGATCCATAAGATGCTCTGGCTCATTTTGCTGCAGTCCAACACAGCACACAACATGCGAACATGGAATACCGGTAAGTTCCCACCGCCTACATGTGCATGTCCTTCTCTTCATATCAACTACAAAAGTGCCTCCGTACATGTGTGTTACCTCAAATCTGTCATTATCAGCCCACCTTGCAATGTTTGTCTTGGCATCATCCTTAGCTTTTTCCAATTTTTTTAGAATTTTGGGACAGATTTCTTCATTCATTTTTCTCATCCATTCCCTCTTTGTCCGAAGCCGCTCTATAAGATATATTCTAATATTTTCAATCATGCCAAGAATAGGTTTTTCCCTTGCATCTAAAATCACTGAATTAAAGCTTTCACAAAGGTTGTTCAGAAGAATGTCACATTTAACTGTAGTCCGAAAATGTGACATTGACCAATGTCGGGGCGATGTATTATCCATTAACCACTTGTGTGCACTCTCATCATATTGTTTCAAGGTTTCCATCTCGGCCTTAAATCTGTTTACATATGTTGCCCTTGCACAGCCCCAAAACATGCCCTTTATTGTCTCGCCAGGATGCCGTTTCTTGAAGTTGTTGTGTAGATGTCTCACACTGTGCCTATGTTCCACATTTGGAAGAATATCATGCATGGCTGAACCCAATCCCTGCCATCAATAAATGCCAAAAATTAAGCAATCATAAACTAAAGTAATATGGTATTTAAAAATCAGCCATGGTCGTATGCATTACCTTTTGTCGATCACTTATAAATGTCCATTTGCTTTGCTCATGGATGCTGAGATCAAATTTCAAAAAATCGATGAACCACATCCAAGAATTCTTATTTTCTACCTCAACAACTGCGTATGCAATAGGATAGATGCAATCATTTGCATCTATCCCTACAGCTGTTAGTAGAACTCCCGAGTGTGGACCACGTAGATGGCAGCCATTTACACCAACAACAACTCTACAGCCGGCTTTGAAACCTTTCTTCAATGCTGCGAAGCAAATGTATAACCTTTGGAATCGCTCTTTTCCACTAAGCTCATCAATCTCTGTCTCCATATGAATAGTTGATCCTGGATTTGATCGCAGTAGTTCATCACAATAGTCCCACATCCTTTTGTACTGTTCCTTGTAGTTCCCTTGGATCAACACCTTTGCCTTTGCGAATGTCTTGTAAACCTGATCTTTGGTAATATGCACATTCAATTCTCGATGGACTTTTTCCTTAAACTCCCCAACTGAAATCTTCCTATTCAACCGCAAGAACTCTTTGTAATGTACACTTAGAAACCCAGAATTGGCCAGCTTATGGTAGAATGTCCTTCCGCAACGATGTTGTGGCCCCATAGTCCGTATGACAAAGGCATCACTATCTGGTTCCTTGGTCGCATGGAGGAACCATTTGCACTTGGCATTCTTGAATTTTGCCCTTATTCTATTGGCATCATTCTTTTTCCAACCATGGTCTTTGCCCCACAACACCCCATAATAATCAACTGCAGCTTTGAGTACCTTCTTTGTATCAAACAGTAACCCAACAAAAAATCTTGGATCTTTCATGTCAATTTCTGGTTTAAACCGAACATACCTTGGCTTCTTTGGTCCACTTTCTTCATCCGAGGACCCATAATGGCTGTTTAACTCTTCTGTGTTCATTGAGTCTGATTCTTCTTGGACAGGAATCTGCTCTCCATCATAAATGTTCAAATCAGCAGCAGCATAAGCTTCTCTCACCTGTGCATGTTCTTGTTTAGGTGTGTATGCTTTTTTTCTGTTCTCTTTAGCACCTGTCTCTGAACATTTTCCCTGCATACCAACCTCAAGATTGCCAATCTGATTTTCAAATAACTTATCAATATTGGATGTACAATTCTTGTATATTATATCATCCTCATCTTTGCTAAAATCATAATCACTGTCATGAAAATCATCATAACTATCATCACTGTCATCAGCCTCATCACCATCTTCTACAGTTTTACTAACTCTTCTTTTGTTTTTTTCCCTTTACCCCCATCAACTTCTTCTGGTGTTGCATGAA